AGGCATAAAAATGCCAAAAAATGTAATAGTATAGTATGGCATAAAAATGTAAAAAAAACGTCATAGTATAGTATGGCATAAAAGGTCAAAAAACATCATGGTATATTAAGGCACAAAAGGTCATAAAAACGTCATAGTATGGTAAAGAATTAAACAAAATAGTATATTAAGGCATAAAAATGCCAAAAATGTAATAGTATAGTATGGCATAAAAATGTAAAAAAACGTCATAGTATAGTATGGCATTAAAGGTCAAAAAAACATCATGGTATATTAAGGCATAAAATGTCATAAAAACGTCACTGTAAAGTGAGGCATAAGACAACATAGTATAGTAAGGCATAAAAATTCCAAAAAATGTAATAGTATAGTATGGCATAAAAATGTCAAAAAACGTCATAGTATAGTATGGCATGAAATGTCATAAAAACGTCATAGTATGAAAAAGAATTAAACAAAATAGTATAGAAAGGCATAAAAATGCCAAAAAATGTAATAGTATAGCATGGCATAAAAAATGTAAAAAAACGTCATAGTATAGTATGGCATAAAAGGTCAAAAAAACATCATGGTATATTAAGGCATAAAAGGTCATAAAAACGTCTGAGTATGGTAAAGAATTAAACGATATAGTATAGTAAGGCATAAAAATGCCAAAAAATGTAATAGTATAGTATGGCATAAAAATGTAAAAAAAACGTCATAGTATAGTATGGCATAAAAGGTCAAAAAAACATCATGGTATATTAAGGCATAAAATGTCATAAAAACGTCACTGTATAGTGAGGCATAAGACGACATAGTATAGTAAGGCATAAAAATGCCAAAAAATGCAATAGTCAAGTATGGCATAAAATTGTCAAAAAACGTCATACTATAATATGGCATAAAATGTCATAAAAACGTAATGGTATGGAAAAGAATTAAACGAAATAGTATAGTAAGGCATAAAAATGCCAAAAATGCAATAGTATAGTATGGCATAAAAGGTCAAAAAAACATCATGGTATATTAAGGCATAAAAGGTCATAAAAACGTCTGAGTATGGTAAAGGATTAAACGAAATAGTATAGAAAGGCATAAAAATGCCAAAAAATGTAATAGTATAGTATGGCATAAAAATGTAAAAAAAACGTCATGGTATATTAAGGCATAAAATGTCATAAAAACGTCTCAGTATGGTAAAGAATAAAACGACATAGTCTAGTAAGGTATAAAATACCAGAAAACACCATAATATATAAAGACATAAAATATCATAAAAATGTCAGAGTATGGTAAGGCATAAGACAACATAGTATAGTAAGGTATAAAAATGCCAACAAACATCATAGTATAGTAAGGTATAAAAATGCCAAAAAAAGGTCATAGTATATCAAGGCATAAAAGGTCATAAAGACGTCATAGCATGGTAAGGAATGAAACGACATAGTATAGTAAGGCATAGAAATGCTAAGAAAACGTCATAATATAGTAAGGCATAAAATGCCAAAAAACATTATAATATTTAAAGGCATAAAATATCATAAAAACGTCACTGTATGGTAAGGCACAAGACGACATAGTATATAGTAAGTCATAAAAATGCCAAAAAATTTAATAGTATAGTATGGAATAAATTAGCATAGTATATTAAGGCACAAAAGGTCATAAAAACGTCTTAGTATAGTAAAGAATAAAACAACATAGTATGGTAACGTATAAAAATACCAAAAAATTTCATAGTATTCTATGGCATAAAAATGTCAAGAACCGTCATAGTACATTAAGGCATAAAAGGTCATAAAAACATCATCGCATGGTAAGGAATAAAACAACATGGTATAGTAAGGAATAAAATGCCAAAAATGCAATAGAATAGTATGGCATGAAAATGAGAAAAAACGTCATAGTAAGGCATAAGACGACATAGTATAATAAGGCAGAAAAACCTCAAAAAACGTCATAGGTTACTAAGGCATAAAACGGCATAGTATAGTAAGGCACAAAAACATCGAAAACGTCATGGTACCCAGAGAAAACCCATGCAGGCAGAGGGAGAACATGCAAAATCCAAACACAAAAGTCCCAAGCCTTCAGGATTCGAACTCTCAACCTCCTGAATTTAAGGAGGATGCTCAATCCACTACTCCACCTTGCCACACCTTTTCAAAGTTAAAGTATAGTCATACATAAAAACCTCATAGGCTGTTAAGGCTTAAAGGGTCGTAATGTGGTAAGGTAAAATAAAGTCATATTATGGTGAGGCATAAAAATGTCGTTATGTACTAAGGCATAAAATTCATAGTATAGTATAGCATGAAAAAGTCATGCTATATTATGGTATAAAGTCATAGTATAGTAAGGCATAACAAATGTCATAGTATCGTCAGACATAAAGAGTCAAAGTATAGTAAAGCGTAGGAGTGACCAATTAAACTAATGTGCATGTTTTTTGACTGCGGGAGGAAGCCGGAATAACCAAAGAAGCCCCGTGCAGGTATATGGAGAAAATACAAACTCTACAAAGACAGGGATTTGAACCCAGAACCTTGTCTGTGGCAGGTATGAGCTCTAACCATTGTACCACCGTGCCTCTCTACTAAAAGACATGAAAAAAAACATAGCATAGTAAGGCATAAAAACATCAACAAACGTCATAGTATAGTAAGGGATAAAAATGTCATAAAACATCATATTATCGTAAAGCATAAAACAAAGTATAGTTGGGTATAAAAACGTAAAAAAGCATCATACTATAGTAAGGTATAAAACATAGTATAGTAAGGTATAAAAACGTAAAATACTGTCATAGTATAGTAAGGCACAAAAATGTCAAAAAATGTCATTTTATAGTAAGGCATAAAACGTCATAGTATAGTCAGGCATAAAAACGTAAAAAAAATGTAATAGTATAGTATGGCATAAAACATAAAAAAAACATCATAGTATATTAAGGCATAAAATGTCATAAAAACGTCATTGAATGGTAAGGCATGAGACGACATAGTATAGTAAGGTATAAAAATACCAAAAAACATCATAGTATAGTATGGCATAAAAATTTCAAAAAACTTCATAGTATTTTAAGAACATTTACACTGTCAATATGAAATCAAAATCAACTGAATCGGTGAGACTCAGACACAGCCCGGGGATGTGACTACTGATACTGGAGTGGGACTGGTCGACTCGGTCACATGCACATTTCCCCCTTGTGGCATGAAAATGCCAAAAAATGTATTAGTATACTATGGCATAAAACGTCAAAAAAACGTCATACTATAGTATGGCATAAAATGCCAAAAAACATCATAATATTTAAAGGCATAAAATATCATAAAAATGTCATTGTATAGTGAGGAATAAGACGACATAGTATATAGTAAGTCATAAAAATGCCAAAAAATGTAATAGTATTGTATGGCATAAAATGTCAAAAAACGTCATAGTATATTAAGGCATAAAAGGTTATAAAAACTGGAGGTACTTCCTCCAGGAAATAACTGTACCCTGGTTCTCTTAAATCCAACACTGATATAAGCTTGACAATTTCCCCTAAATTTTAAATAGGTATTTAAGATATTGCATTCAGTCAATCATGTGTATTTTTGCAATATAAAACAGTAATTTACTTCAAAAAAATTTAGAAAAAGTAAGGATGAAGGAGGCTTAGCCATGTGAAAGCACCAAAATCCAACATACAGGATAGGTATTTTTTCTGGGGGTGATTTTGGAGAGATCTGTGTTTGCACCATGAAAGTTGAAATGAAAATCTTTGAACGTTGAAATGAAAATTGTTTCTGTGAAAAGAAGTACCCTGAGCAGGCCTAAATGCAAGTGTAATTTCATGCCGAAACAAGTACCCAAATTACACTGCACCATCTCATCAGCATAAACACAACCTCAGCTGCTCCACTCCTCTCACATCGATATGTTTAGAGCCAGAAAATTACAACACAGGTGTAAGTGCAAATAATGGACTTCAGTCTGATGAAAATGGGATAGCACTGCGTTGGTGCTAACATACGCTTTTTATTGGCACTAAATCAGAGGCTCTTGTGTCTTGTCAAACACTCGAAACAGTTTCTTACAACGATTCAAAGAGTTTCTCTCGTTCACATTAATCTTGTATAAAATGATAGAACTGATTATGAGACTTCAACACATAGAAAATGTTCCTAATGATCAGATGTTACATAATATACACAGTCAGTGCCTGTACAAATTTCAGTACATCTGTCATCTATAGAACCCGGTTGCTCTGCTCTTCAAGACGATGTTGTACAATTACTGGTTCCACCATTTTAAAAACAGTTGACCTAATGAGCTGTTTTAACCAAAAATATATCACCTCTCTCAATGTCACATTCTTAAAGTCAAAATTACCTTTCCATTAAGACAATGATCTTCTCTCAATGTACACACACTGACAATATTGTTCCAACATCAATGTGGCTTTAACGCTGCAGCTCTAGGAAACTGAGTGACACTATTAGGTAAACATGGACAAAGATCCCCAGTGGATTATTTCCAGTACTGTGTTGAAACCACAAAACACCTCTGGAGTCAACCTGGAGCCCTTGTTCATTACAGCAAAGTGTACCCAATAAAATGCCTCATAGAATTGGCCAATAACATCAAACAGTGCCCATTCGCTCTGACCTGTTCACACATTATTCTGCTGTATTATTGCAAGTTTCATTTTTATAGATGGGATATAATCTCCATGCCCTCATCTTGGTGTTAAGTACTGTGACATCAATATTGTTCAGAGATAGGAGACAATTAACCATCTTTTTTTCCCTGAAACCAAAACTATTATTGTGTCTGTTTCGTTTTTATTTAAAGTGGGTTTAATGTGCAATTGGCTTTTGTTTCCTCCCTTCCTATCCTTATCTCAAATCCTTTTTCATCCTCCATCTTGCTTTTCTTTTATTCCCTGTTCTGCCATTTCTTCTGCTATGCCTAATCTATCTCTTCCCCCATCTCATTCACTTTCTCCTCTGTCTCTGCTCCAGTGTGACTGCGGTGCGTCTGCCTGACAGTTTATCCTTTGTCGTCTACGAGTTCTGGGATGGAGAGGAGGAGTGGAAGAAGTGAGTATTCAATCACATCTGACTTAGAAGGGAACATTTCAATCTCAAACCTAAGCTCCTCGCTGATATCGGTCACTCATGCTGTTATTAAGAGCTTTTTGATTTTGAGTGTTGATGTGTTAGAAGTAGCTTTCCTGCTGTGATGCTAAAAATAATCCAAAACAACAGACAGAATGAAACTGTGTGTAAATGCTGAAGAAGGTACCTTGCTGCACAATGTTTAATTCCCCACTGCTGATCCGCTTTAAAAGTATTAAAAGTCATTACTGAGTGTGGACATTCATTTTCTTTCTGAAAATGTCTTTGAGTCAGCACTCTGCCTCCTCCTGAAAGTTTTTTGGAGCTGACATTGCCATTCCCTCCTGCCATTGTTTTCATTGATTGGTGATTGCCAAATAAAGAGAGCGCTCACTTTTCTTCCATTACTGTCATGAGCCTGTTGGAAAAATTCCTCCATCCACATTTAATTAGCATTCTTCAGCCATTCACTCCCCCTAGAGTTGCTGAAGCACTCAAGTTGCGTCAGGTCGTCATGATTTAGTGATGGTGCTGGGCATGAGGAGAGGCTGCTGATGTAGCTGCCTGCTGATCTGAGTTTCTGCTCCACTGCTCACAGCATCTCACTGCCATTAATATTTCAACTCTTACAGTAAAGGCTAAGGGCCTCGCAAAGCGGTTTGAGGCTATGTGTTCCCATGTGCGTTTATGAGTGGCTGCAGATATACATACAGTTCATATATGCTGTGTGTAAAGCTGCATGTGTGCTCTCTCACCCTCTCTGATTCCAGGCACCTCCAGTCGCCCCCCAATAAAGCCTTTCAGCATGTGAAGGTGGACACACTGTGCCAGCCAGAGGCCGTGTCCTCTGTAGCCGTGCCAGGTAAGTGGTAAAATACTACAGAATAAAATAAGGACTGTTAATGAACCTTATTTTGTCATCAGTTAAAAGAGCAGGCCAGTGACTTTAGACATAATGATCAAGTCTATGATTGAATCTGAGCTTGAAATACATGGGCATTTGCCACCCATACAGAAATGTAATATATGACATATACTGCCTCAGACCCTACTGTATATTATAGTGAAAGGCTTTGGGATGGATATATATTTATGTAACATATGTCTAAACATAAGCAAAAATGCATAAACATACATATTTGTATGGGCTAGACATATAAGTTATTATATGAAACAATTTCTAATATGTTTTGTATATAATTTATACATACATCTTTTTATATTATCTTTTTTATGTACATATAGTTCATATATGGAAATGTATTATATGTACATGTATTACATTTGCGTGACTCAAGCAGCGGGTTGCCATATGGAAAGTGCAGGATTCTTTGTTTTTGGAGTGATCCACATTAGGCACTAAAAGCCAAGATAGATCTGTTCCAATACCCACACTGGTAATATTTGCAAGTAGTCAATTGCCCATGTGACAGATTTATGGTATCTGCTAATAGTATCAAAATGCTTGATGTCACTAGAGCTCACTGGCTTAGTTAGAGAGGCCATTGCATCACTCACTCAAAAACATGACTCAGTCAAGCTCAGATGATGTGCTTTTTTTATTTTATTTCCATATAATAGACTTGTACTATTTATTGCAAATGGATATACAGTTAGATTCTGTGGAAAATGAATCTGAGCAGCAGCAAGGATTCTGCTGAGAGAGCGCTAATCCCCAAAACATTTCAGATACAGCATCAGGTACAGAAATAAACATGAACATGAGCTTAGATAGTAGATAGTGAGATAATACCAAAGCATAAATGATGTGAGGAGGAGGTCCAGGTGGTGAAGGGAGTTGCATAGAAAACAGCATCGGCAATAAAGAATCAGCAGAGTAATAGAGTTACACACTTAGCTCAAAACATAGCAGTATTTTGACAAATGTCATCATCAAGTGTGAATTCAAGAAAATTTAGTGGTCAAGAAAGCAAGTAGTCAGCAGTGTTAGGACAGACCAGAACCTTTTTTCTTCTTAAATAATGTCTATTGAAAGTCCTTAATCAATATAAGTATAATATAATTAAAGTGGGGTCGATAAATAATCTTCAGATAGTTTTTTATTTTTTTTATATTGACTTGATTCATTGTTCAGTTTGTAATATATCAGAAAAACAGCCCAAAATTAAGTCTTGAAATAATTTGTTTGTTCCAATCAGCAGTCCAAACCCAAATATATTCAATATAATAAACATATAAACCAGAGAAAAGCAGCAACCACCTTTGAGAGCTGAAATCAGTGAATGTTTCATGTCAATAAAGTCTCTTTTGAATTTGAATGTTTCACATTTTGCCTTGATAAATGACTTAAATTACTACCACTTATCAAAATTTTAGGTCATCATTAAAAAAACAATAGAACAAAACAGAATAGAACAGAATTTAGGAACAGACAGTATCCAATAGTACACAATTAGGAGCAGATCTCTGAACTAATCCTATAAAACATATCATTGTTTAGTCAGTTGAGGCTGCCTGAGTAATTACTGGAGGTTCAGATGCATTGAACAACTAAAGCAACCTGGCACATGAAGATGGCATCATTTAAAACAACTGACACGCCGGCATAACATCATGCTCTGAGACACAGGCTGCCAGTGGCTTGAGGTGATGCCTGGCAGACTGCCACTTGTATTTTTTTTTTCTTGTCCAACTCTCATTTTTTGACCATCTCATCACCACCGCCCTTTGCCCTTCTCTTTCTCAAACTCACACTTCATCTTCTTTCTCTGCCTTGCCAAATTTCTTTTCCTTTCTTCTCTATTCAATCTACGTCTCCTCTCATTCCCTGACACGTTTTTCTGTCTGTGCTTCCTCTGTGGCTCATTTTCTCTTCAATCTTTTTTCTTTCTTTCCAACCTCTTTCTCACTTCCCTCTCTCTTCCTTTCTCTCTCTTTGCAGCCGCCTGGTGCAGTGTGGAAAAGGGACTGAGCATGAAGATATTCAACTACACGCCAAGACTCCTGGCTCGCTCCCCACTTCCTCTTGATTCCCCCTCCGTCCTGAAACTTTTTCCTTCTGCAATTTCACCCACCTCACTCCCTCTCTTCTCCTTTCACTCCTCACATTCCTCAACTCTTTTTTGTAAGTACATGTTTCAACAGTACAAATGAATGGTGTCAACTGCAGTGAAAATTGAACAGTGCATTTTACAATAGTGAGATTACTTAAAACGCATTTGCATCTCACCACGGTAGGTTTGGCTGGCTCAAGATTTTGGATTATTTCATGTTCAATGCTTTTCAAGTAGGCTTTGAGCCACTGGTGGTGGAGTTTGTCATGTAGCAAGGACCCCGGGGTTGAGTTTTTCAATGTAGCAGTAACTGTTTTTGGGTAGTGTATTGTGGAATATTTCATTTTATTTTTCCACACTTATTAAGATTAGATTCACTATAGAAAGCTCATCTATGTAGCTGTCATTTCATAGCAGCTGCTCATTCCAAATTTGTTCACATACCGTGATTGTTCTAGTAATAATTGCATTATTTTGTTTGTGTAAATGAAATGCTTTGGACATTATTCTCACATCAGCCATTCTGAACTCACATCGACATGTTGAGTAAGATGAAGGAGTAGACAACAGACCAGTTGCCAGATTTAGCTTGCAATCTCAGGAACAAACTGAATGCTTGAATTTAGCTTGAAGGTTAGCTAGCCCACTAGCTAGCTGTAAGAGACTATTGTCCTCAAGTAATTGAGTTTGGTTGTGTCAAATTGTTACGGTGAAAAAAAACTAAAACATGAAGGCTTTCCAAGGAAGTGCAATGGGTTTTTTAGAAATGAAGTAAGTATAAAATGTGTAGTTTTAGATTTTCTGCTCAAGGATGTGTGACAAGAGCAAGCTAGAATCGCATGTCTTGGCTCACGAAACGCTGATGTGTAAACTTGTTCTATAATTTTATATTTACTTTATAATGTACTTTTTTGTATATCATTTTCAACTTCAAACACAAGAGTTTAACACAAGAACTTAATACGACGTCCACCGCTGTTAGATCTCATAGCTGGCTGTAGTAGGCTAACTACCCTATATTAGCCTTAATTTAAGCTAACCCTTATTTTGCGACCCCATTTTTTTGGGGGAGGGTGGGCAAAAAATTGAAGGTATAGGACCTTGAGAAAAGGGAGGCAGATACATCTGACTATTTAAATGTATTAAATTTAAAAAATCTAATTTCTCCAACATACCAATGAAAGAGTGACATAGCATTAGCTTGATAACATTCCCCTAATACACTCATCGCTATCAGAAAAACATGGTTGTAACCTTAAGTTTTAAATGCCTAGTGACATGTGTTGTCCATGAATGTATGATGCTATTTTTCAAGTCTAATTTCGGAGGTGGGAAACTTAAACATTATCTTATAACTAAGAAGCCAGTATTGTTATACACAAAAATGAAAACCTTTATTCCTCTTCAGTTTCTCATTTATTTTAATTGTGTGATTAGCTGAGTTTCTGATCCCAAGAACTTCACAATGGCTGCTGTGGGGTGTAATGTCTATGAGGGTGTCTACGTATATAGCATGTGTTAATTGAACACAGCAGACAATTGTCATGAGACAACAAAAAACCCACGCAATTCCGACATACAGAAACATTTAGAGTTATATTTCTTTATGTAGCTTTTATTTTGTCACTGGGATTTAGAGTTGAATCTCTGAAATAGACATCAGGGTAATTAAAGAGGTGAGATGATCTATCGTTTTGCTGTCAAAGGATAAATTCTGACTTAAGAAAGAGTCTGCTGCTACTTGAGACAAAAGAGGACTAAGTAGTGAGGAAAAAGGCAGCGCCACTGTTCTCCATGCAGCTAAACATTGTTTTATTTCTGTCTGTGAAATCTTGTCTAAATTGGCGATGGGTAGCCTATATTAGCCGTGTAAGTCTAGTAGAGATTGTACATATGCAAATGTTGTCTGATTATTCTGATTATATTTGTATTTATTGACATTTTTAGGCTATGGTGCACATTTTTCCTCAGTGGAAGTGGCAGTAGCTTTATAGGTGCTGTATATGCTTCTCTTGACAGTTTCTTTGAATCAGAATACCTTACCGATCAGAAACAGATACAACATCTGAATGACATTGAATATAAAGCCTTAAACATCACACATGCGAGAGGAGGTTTAAAGGGTTTTCAAAAGATGGCTTTTCCTTTTTTTGATGTGGATGTCAACTCCCAGTAGCAGGGAATTACCCACTCGTGGTCTTTCAGTACAGGCCTCTTGGCATTAGACTAACGCACACCAGTCTAATATATTTGACATAATACAGCTTCACATTTCAGAGATTTCTGGCAACCAGACTTATTCAGTTATCAACACATCACTGAAAAGAAACAACCGTTGATTCAAAAATAGAGACTTCAGCCGCAG